CAAATAACACAACCTTGCTTGCTGAAAGCAAAGAGGACATGAAATACTTGCAGATGGAAATCAAAGATTGCAGCCTTTGGTATGGTATAACTCGGTGTAAAGAAAACAAAAATGGTTATAATTAGATCGATCGGCAATGTCATAATAGAGAAACAATTGAAGATGTCAAGGATTTCATTTAGCTTATATTCACAATCAAAGCTCATGGAAGCGATAATCAAGAAATCAAATCAGAATGTATCGCATTAAGCAAGTCTCCTGCATGTGGTCTCTTTAAAATAGGGAAATTAAAGATGCCACTTTGAGAACTAAGGTGCACCTGACCCAGATCGCGGTATTTTTAATTGTTTCATGTACTTGTGAACGTTGGACAATGAATAAGGAAGACTAGGGGTCTTCCTTAAAATTGATGTATTTTAATTGTGGTGCTGGCAACGAATATTGAATGTGTCATGGACTACCAGAAGAATAAACAAATCTCTTTTGGAAAAAAAAAAATTTATCTGTTTGCGGCACGCACGTGGTTATGTATCAGTCACAAGCACCAGGAAAAAAAAGATGATGATGAAGAAGAAGATGTAGACCTGTCTTTAAGGAAACAACTAGATAAACAAATAAACGTCAAGTGGAAATGCATGAGGCGTGGAAATAGAAAGAGACCTGCTGGTGAGGGAAAGGTTGAGCACGAGGGGTGACCCAGAAGGAGACACTTCTTGGAGTTCTCAAGACCAGACGTGAGCCCTGACGGTGTTGTGGTCATGCACTGGGTTTGGAAACACCAGCTGCCCCATGGGAGAAAGAGGAGGAATTCGACTCCCACAAAGAGTTAGGGTCTCAGAAACCTACAGGGGCAGAACTGCCCTGTGCTTTAGGGTCTCTGTGGGCTGCAGTCGACTCCATGGCAGTAAGTTCGGTGTGGTTTTACTAGGAGTTCCTCACATGACACGTTGTTTTCTCAGTGCAGACTCTGTCTCTGACAGCTTTGCTCCGTGAGATGCACTCTAGGCCTGGATTAAGAAGCTTCAGAACAGTGAAGCTGTTGAAGTTCCTTTGTCTTTCCTTGGAACCGGGCCAATTTTAGATGAAATTTTAAAGAAACGTGGTCTGTTTCTGGTGTGTTCTCATCCCTCTTCATGTTCCTAGAAAACTCTCCTCGGCACCTCTCAGAAACCTCTACCTCTCCCAGCACGGCCCCACGACGCTTGTCAACCAGCTCACCTTCTCGTCCTCCCTCGCTTCCTCACTTGGGCTTTGAACTTAGGAGAACGATGTGACTAAAGGCAGTGGGCGCCTGGCCCTCTGCATAGGTTTATTTTTATTCAGTATTTTTGCTATTTTCAAACACCTCGTAAGATCCTTGACACAGAGTAATGCGGACTTTTTCTGAGTCATAAATTTAAGTCACAAGTCACTTAGTAAGCCAGCTGAACATCTTCATCCACATCTTTGTGATTATCGTATATACTCGTGTATAAGCAGTTTTTTCAGCATATTTTTAATGCAGTTTTTGTGGTAAAATTGGCTGCTTCGGCTGATAGGTCGACTTGAGTATGTACGGTATTATTATTTTTTCAGTATTTGAGAAATCATATTTTTAATGCTTCCTAGCGAAAACATGGTCTCCAAAAGAAAACCAACATCCAAGGCTAGTAGCAAATGATTAAAAGAAAGTGATGTATGTTTTTTTTTAATCATTTTATTGGGGGCTCATACAAATCTTATCACCATCCATACATACATCAATTGTATACAGCACATTTGTACATTCCTTACCCTCATCATTCTCAAAACATTTGCTTTCTACTTGAGCCCTTGGTATCAGCTCCTCAATTTTTTCTCCCCCTGCCTCATGAACTCTTGATAATTTATAAATTATTATTATTTTGCCATATCTTACACTGTCTGACGTCTCCCTTCACCCACTTTTCTGTTGTCCTTCCCCTAGGAGGTTATATGTAGATCCTTGTAATCGGTTCCCCCTCTATTAAAATGTGGGGATTTTAACCCCGCATAAAGGTCACACTTAAATGATTTGAATGCCCTTCAAATTGGGGATCATTCATTCATTTATTCAATCAACCGATCTTTCTTGAATAGACACTGTGTTAGAATCTAGACATACAAATAAATAAAGAGACCGTCTCTGCCCTCATGAAACCGAACTCTCTCTGCGAAGCCTGACAGTAAACAAGTGAATACAATACAAACCACTGAGTTTAGGGATAAAAGAGAGCCCAGAGAACAGTAGAAATAGAAGGCCAAGGTTTACCTGCAAGCAGGCCAGGAGTCAGTAGTCTCTGGGAGAAAGTGATGGGTAACTAACCTGGGACCAGAAGAATGGGTGAGGGAGTCAGTTAGGCAAAGATAATTTGAAGGTTTACTAATCTTGAAAGGATCCCTGGTGGAGCAGAGGTTGAACGCTTGCTGGGCTGCTCACACTACGCTGGGTGATTTGAACTGACCACCGCTCCGTGGGAGAGCAATGTGACAGTCGACGCCCATAAAGACGATAGCCTTGGAACCCTGGGTCCTACGTGTCACTGTGGAGCCAACTAGCAGCAGCAGGGACTGATCTGGAGCTTCATGGCTTGGGAAAAACAAGAATCTGTGACTTGGAGGGCAGAGAGATGCCCTAGAGTTCATTGAGGTCACAAAAGGATGTCTGAGTGACTGTGGTATTAATCCCAACTTGATGCCGTAAGGTGGTACATTATTAAAATCAGAATGCAGTTTGGGGAAACGCTCTAAATAAAGCTTTCTTCCTCAGCTACAGCCAAGAACTATGCTCATCCCAGATGATCTGAAACTATCCTTTGAGAATTTTATGACTCATAGGTAAGGCAAAGCTTTGGTTCAGAACATGCATCTAATTCTGGTTTTATTTGTAAGTAGAATTTGTAGTGAATGCTTAAGGGATGGGCTTATTTACTGGTTTTGTTTTCTAAAGAGCTCTTAGTTTAAATATATATATAGTTTATATATATATATATTCTAATACATATTTGGTGTGGACTTTAAATAAATAAGTCAAACAATCAAACAAACTACCATCCATTTGATTCTGACTCATGGCAACCCTATAGGACAGGGTAGACTTGCCCCTGTGGGTTTCTGAGACTGTAATTCTTTATGTTGGATAGAAAGCCTCGTCTGTCTCCCTCAGTGCAGATAACTAGGCTATTTGAAAACGGGCTTTGCTGAGCAAAAGTTTTATTCTTCAATGGAAGATATTCTTGAAATGTGTTAGCCATTTTGTGCATCCGGCTAGTTTGGTACTTTCCAGAAAGTCCCAAATCGCAGATTCATTTGTTGGAACTATTTTAAACATGAAATCATTCTTAATCCTTTAAAACTCAGACCAGGGGTTGAAACAGTCCTAAACTCACATCAACACCAACCAGACGTGTCTTTGTTGTTGTTGTGTGTTGAAGAAAAACACACCATGTCTGTCTGAAACATGGAGTATGACTACAAAATAATGGATCTGGTTCTAGAACTTAGAAAACTGGTCCTCGTATGTTTTAAGTGTCACTGCATGCACAGGCAGGTGGGCTTGTCCTTACTTCAATAACACAGCTTTTAAAAGTGACCGTAGCACAACCGTGAGAGAAATTAAAATTGTCAGATGGAAGGGGGGAGGGAGGAGAGCAGGAGAGGGAGGAGGGATGGGGCAGAGAGGGAGGACGGCAGACTTCCTGAATTAAGTGCAGAAAACATCTGAAGTTATTCAGCCCTGCCAATACCATCCGTCCCCAGAGCAGATACTAGAAGGGATTTTGCTCTTCTTCTCCGTCACAAGGGGCACACAAATGGCAACTGCATAAAACGGCCTGGCTGCACTCACTCGACTTTTATTCTGTAGACAAACAAAAATAACCCTGGAAGATCTTTAGGAGAATAAAACCGGGAAAGGAGTATCGAGCCTTAGACCATCCAAGTGAATAGATTTGTCAGGGGATATTTTTGGTTTTGGTTTTATAAGACATTCAGCCATTTAAACAACCGTAGGAATCTGTTGGTCTCACGTAGAGCCTGGAAGATCAGGAAAGCTTGGGTGTAAGCAAGATGTTTTTCTCAAAAAATGGAAAGCTTCTATTCAAAGTGTCCTCTCAGTTTTGCCCTTGAAGGGCAGGCAGATTTCTGCTCTGGAAGGGTGGCTGCTTTTTCAGAAATCGGAGGATTCTTTACTTAACCTCTCCTGTTTTCAGGGCATGATGGTAGGAATAAGACCGTTTTTTCGAATGAAATCTACAAAAATGCCCTTAAGTAAAACAGCTTACAAGTAGGCGCCCCAGTCATCTCTCAGTGCTGCAAAGGCGGCCTGGTCACCAGGTTACCAGGCGCTGAATTCCAGAGACCCTCTGGGTTTTCAAATAGCTAAAGGCTTCGCCCTGTCCACCAATTACCTAATGTGTGTTCTTGCTCCCCCAATCAGGATGATGGGTCTTCACCCACCAAGAGCCGAGAATGAACCCAAACCACCCCAGGACGACATCCGGACAGGTCTGCTTTCTTCCAGTGTTTTCCGTGTAAGACCGGGTGGTAGAATGAAGAGGTTAAGTCTCTGGAATGCTTTCTGAGTTGACTGAACACATTCCTGTGCCTCATTTCTTTGCGTGTTGTTGCTCTTTGTCGCGGGCTGACGGCGGTCTTCAGCCTTCTGTGCTCTCCAGCCCCTCTGGTCCCTTGGCCTCCTCCCCGGCCGTGCGCCTGTCCAAGCCCGTCCCATGCCACAAGGCTCCGCCCCATTCCTGTAACAAGCCCCCTGATCTACTTGCTGAGGAATTCCCATAGATGTGTGACTCAAATCAGAGAAATGTCCCCCCAGGTGGCCCTGCTGGTACCCATGAAACCTATATCCTCACACACCTGAAATTGACTCTCTAGAGCTTTGAACCTTACCCCCCTGGGGGGAAAAAAGGAAAAAAACTCACTGCTACGGGGTGCACTCTGACTCGTAGCAACCCTATGAGACAGGCTAGAACTGCCCCTGTGCGTTTCTAAGAATGTGACTGTTCACGGAGTAGAAAGCCTCATCTTTTCTCCCGCAGCGCAGCTGATGCTTTCTAACTGTTGACCTTGTGATTAGCTGCAGGCCAGCACATGACCTGTCTGCCACTAGGGCTCCTCCACCCCTAAACTAGCTCCCTTTGCCCAGCAGCCAACCAGCACTACTCTGAGCCTTGCTAGATGATCGTAGAAAAAAGGATCCAGGCTCTGTCTCCAGCTTCAGTGTTGGAAGGTGACCAGACGTCCTGCTTTTGACGGGACAGTCCCAAGTTTTAACAATTTTCCCATGTCCCGTGGCATTTTTTAAAAGTCCCAATTTTTGGAAAGAATGCACTACAAGCTAGGGTATACAGTTTTTGGCTGCCATGTGGCTATTTTGCCAGGATATGAGTTTTATCAATGGTGTCCCACTTTTCCAATGTTAAAATCTGGTCACCTTCAGAAAAGCTAGCTTGGAAGTTGGGAGGGGGCCACTTTTTGAGGTGACACAATTTGAACATTTCAGGCTGTACAGCCTGTCACCTGAGTGACTTTGCTCATTTGCTACCATATCAACTGAAGCTATCCGAAGTGTTTCCTTCATTTGATACACACAATAAGGAAATTCAAGATGGGAAACTATAAACTCTATCCCAGCAGGTTCCAAAGGAGTTAGCTCCAGAACTGAGCAGAGAAGGCATTAAGAAAGGAAACTTTAGGCTAGATGAAGTTTGGTGCTTGGGGATGCCAAAAGGGGGAACCGGAAATAAGGTTAAGAACTGAGGCTTGGAGATAGCACTATAGCAGAGTGAAAGGCTTATCTGTCCCATGAGTCCCTTCTGATGTATTAAAAACTGGCCTCATTCTTGGCTCTCAGTCAGCCACATGGACAGACTATCCTAGAGCTAAGATCATCCCCCTAAAGAAAGGTCCACACCCTGCTGAACTCTGGTCTATGGCCAGCTCATTCTCTTGAAGCCAAGAGGATGCAGGGTGCCAGGCATGGGCCTTTTGTTCTAGGATTTTCTGTACCCACCACCCTTTCATTCTGATTCCTTAGATCTCGGCTTTCTCAGGCCTGCCCCCTCAAAAGGATGAACCAGCCCCACTCCCCACTCCCCACACATACATGCACACCCTCATATCCTTCAAAAAGAATCATTATTTCCCAAGCCTGTAACAAGATGATTTTCATCAGCCCCAGCAGTGTGCTTCAATTAGCAATGAAAGAGCTAGACTTGATGTGCACAAGAACAGTACATTGTATTCCTGCACGGCCCTTGTTCTTGCCCATGCAGTCCCACCTAGGACAGCCAGATTGGAGGTGTGGTGGCAAGGCAAGCGGTTGTGGAGCTGACATTTAGCAGACGTATGATCAATTCCACATGTGGCCTTTCTGAGCTAAGCCTTGGTTTTGTGTTGTTTTCTGAGATCGTGGGGAAAGCACTAGTCCAGGAGCAGAGAATCCTTGAATGAGATCCTAGCCCTGTGGTATAAGGTTGGCCAAAATGTTTAAACTCCCTGTGCCTCCTATCTCACCGGTAAAACCAGGGAGTCGTTTTGCCCCTCTGAGACGCTCATCTTTTGAGTGTCTAAGACACTTCGTCTTCATCTTTGCTTGACCCACACAAACTGCTGACGCCGTCCCAGCTTCCATGGCGTATAGAGGAGGCAAGTTCATACTGCAGTACTTGTTGCTTATTGCTGAAGCCGCCACCCACCTGGGCTGTGTTTTCTGTGGACAAGCTGAAAATACCACAGGGCTGACTCATCCCAGCAAAGATTACTGCCAATGGTTGTCTAAAACTCACTCTGTTGGTCACAACAGTGATGTCTAGCCTTTTTTTCTGGATCCAGCTAAACCTTATGTATTACAAGAATCCTTGTATTATAGAATCAAGTGAATGAAAGGGGCCTGTCTCCACCAGTGACAGAGATTCCTTCTGGCTTCATTGATCTTTGCCATGCTCCAACAATCCCATGGCATTTGGCCTTAATGAACATTGCTATAGACGCTAACCGCCTGACCGGTGTGTAACTGCTGCCTGGCACAGTGGTGTGACGTGGTACAAAGAGTCCCAGGTTAGGATTAAAGACATCTGGGTCCTTCTGACCCTCAGTCCCTCAGTGCCTGTGACCCAGGACCTGTTTCGTCCTCACTACAGTGAGGAGATGGAACTGGATCCTGGCTTTGTGTGATTCTGTAGCATCTCTAAGCTCTCATTTAGCCGAACTGAGGAGCTTGTTCCTAAGAACGCAGGGCTTTACTTCCATAAATTATTCAGAGACTCCCAAGGGAAAGGTATTATTTCATGTACCCAGTTAACTCTCCTTCAAGTGATGTGTCTCTCTGAAAAGCTGAGTATTAACCACCGTTTTGTAAATAGTCTCATATTTGCATAAACTGTCCATAAACCGACGGTTTCTTGTGAAATGCAACAATTTTCTCCCTACTTTCTAAAATTATGTTGTTTGTTGTTGTTTTTAAGGGCAGAACCATAATGTGATCCCTGAGAATTAAATCCTCTTTTCTCTTTGACTCACATGACAACCCTAGATAAATTTTAGCTTCCTTTTCATTTAATTGGCATTGAATAGTTCTTAACTCTTAAGTGTTATATGCTTCTAGATGCTCCTTTCTGGCTTCTTTATGAGACTTGTTTAACTGTTGTGAGCAACAAGGTGGTTCGATTCAAAGAATTCTCCTGTGAATTTTGAATTCTATGTCACAATTGCTTTTAAGTCTTTGGTGTCCTTTAGTTACTTTGGGTTTCTTTGCAGCTAGAACTTAAGCAGCCTTTGTCTCTTTCTTCTTGCATGCCTTCCAGAGAGCATTCACTACAGACTGCCCATCATGGGTCCCCGGACCGCTATCTTCCAAGACCTGCTCTCAGATGCCTACAAAACTCTACAGGAGAGAGAGCTCTCTTCCTTGTCCAGGAAGGAGCCAGTCTGCAAGACAGTGAGACGCTGAACGATCAGAGCTCATCGATAAGGGAGACAAGCAGAGAGAGCACCCCCTCACCAAGCTCGTCTCTGACATGGGGGCTCTTGCCTCATACTTTCTAATAGCATAACTCGGTCATGCCTTCCTAAGAGTTGTTGGTATTCTGGCTCTGGCTACTATGTCCTCCCCACTTCTCCCAAAGGCATGTCTCCATTTACATGATTATAAAACGTATCCATTAAACTAGAGCCATGTAAGTAGATCTCATTTTATTTTGTTAGAATGTCATCTTGGTCTTATAATTGACACTATTCTTCTGTTTCTGAGACATAAATTTTCTATGAAAGTTATTTCAGCTCTTCCTTCCTTCAGGGTAGGGAACTAGAAACAGCCCCAAGGGGATCCATGTGAACTTAGCCTGTGAAGAAAGGAGAAGTGAATGGAGATCACCTTTCTGTGCTTATCTCTGTCCGTTAATGTTGGTCAACCACAGACGGTAATACGATGCACAACTGGAAAATGGCAGGTGATCAATTGTTGCAACCCTAGAGGACACGAACTGTGCGTTGCCCTCCCCTCCCTGGTCACTGCCTTCCAGCCTCACATATGTCAGATCGTTAGCTAATCATAGCTCATTCAAATCAAACCCAAGTGCCTGCATTTTGTAGGTTGGTTGCTTGGGTCTGAGGATGTAGGTCTCCACCTCTGGCCCCAGTCCAGGCAAGTCCATGGAAAACTCTAGGCTCACAGACATTATCTATATGGGCACATATGCTCCATGCCCAGCTTCAGGAAGGCTCCTATGAAAAAGACTCCTCCATTCTTTGAGAAGCAGTGTCCTTGCAGGATCCCAGGATCATGACTGAATGGACACTGGACCAATCATTGAGAATGGACCTCTATGCAGAGTCTGTTTAAAAGAATGAACTTCAGAATTCTAAACCAAAAAGACCAAAAAACAAAAAGCTCTGGGGCTGAAATGAATGTCATATGATTCCTGACTTCAAACAGTTCAAGGACCCCAGATGCAGTGTGCATTTCTTCGGATGGCGAGGCTGCATGCTTTGATTCTGACCCCTGTCATGTAGTTATCAAAATAGATGTGCCACAGGCAACAGAGTTTGTTTCTTGTGATTTTTGTAAATTCATAGATCCCACGAGAGGATGTGGGTTACCTATACCATCCTGTTAAGGGGGAAGACATGCCTCAAAAACAACTCCTTGACGCTCTTGAAGTAATCTGAATGTTGTATGACTTCTGAGATAGAAAGGAGCCTGTGGCATGGTGGGTAAGCATTTGGCCGCCAACCAGAAAGGTGGCAGTTCAAAGCCACCAGCTACTCCATGGAAAGGAGATCTGGCTGTCTGCTTCTGCAAAGGTAACAGTCGAGGAAGTCCTACTCTGTCCTACAGGGTGCTATGAGTCAGAATTGACTCCATGGTAACGGGTTGGTTTTTAAGTTTTTGGTCATGGGACAGACAGCCTCAGGATGGCACAAATGGTTACATGCAAAGTTAGAGGTTTACTTCCACTCAGAGGTGCCCCTGAAGAAAGGCCACATGATCTGCTTCTGAAAATTCAGCCTCCGGAACCTGTGTGGGCACAGTTCTACTTGAACACACCTGGGTCACCGCGAGACAGAACCGGCTTGGCAGCAACTTGTTTGGACTAGGCTTTGGTTAGTGAGGTAGGATGCTTGTGAACTCTCATTGCAAAGGCTGCAGGCAGGAGGCTTCAAAAATCTCATTAAAAAGGCGAACTTTCTAGAGTTATTGGTGTCCTAGCATAGTGGCAGAAGAAGATGGTCTATTATCAGTAGTTTTTAAACTTTTAAGTTCTGAGAATCTTTTACACACATAAGAATGGAGAAAACTAAAGAACTTTTTTAAAAAATAGGTTACAGTTATTGATACGTATCAGATTAGCAATTTATCAGTTTAGAAATTTTCAAAACACAAGCACACCTTCCATTAACTGCCAGATTGATGGTATTAGCACTTGTCTTGTAGCTTTTGGACAAATCCACAATACCCTTGTGAGAGAAAGAGCTAAAAAGGCAAGGAACACTTTGGGTTATTGTGGAAATAATTTTAACCGCACAGATAAGCATTTCAGAGGTTCCCCGGACCACTTTGAGAAAGTCTAGTGTGTGTGATACACCCTTTTGTTTCCATCCCTTCAGGAAAAGGGATGTCAACATGCTTCACAAAGCCACCTGAGGTCTCCTGGGTCCCTTGAAGGGACGTAGAGAGAAAGGTGCAGCCGGTTTTCAAGGTTAACATTGACTTACACCATCCTCGATTGTCATTGTTCAGTTTGTCTGCTTCGCAACCTTATAACCTTAATTTGGTTAATTTATCAAGTAGAGTTCAGTGAAAATAGAGGCAATTGGCTAGTATCACAAGAATGTTGGTTGCCTTTAAACTGTCATCTCTCATCATCGTGTAAGGAAACTCCAGAGGGAATTTTAACCATTAGGAAAGAAACCCGAAGCACTGCCTCACCCATGTACTTCTCATCCCCAGAACACACCCATCCCAAGGCCCACCCTCCTCCTTGACCAACAACCTCGTGTGCACTTGAAATCCTTGCCTATTCTGCTTCTGTGTTCGCACAGATAAAATATAAAAGTTATGCCCAGAGCACTAGTTCCCTGGGTCACCAGCTAATACATTTTTTCTCTTTCAAGTTCTCCAAGTCAAAATTTTGTTGTTACAAACTTATGGGTCAACTACCCCCTTTTTAGAAAAAAAATTACTCTGCACCCTCCTGGCAATAAAAAATGTTTGCACTATAGGCCATAATTCAGGATAAAGTGTAGGTATCTGCTTTTGCAGCTTCCCTGGATTGCCCCCAGGAGGCAGTATCACCCACTTTGGAAACACTGCTCTAGAGAGATGGTTTGTTCATTGTTTGTTTGCTTTGGGTTTGTGTGAACTCATTTCCAGTTCCAAACCTGCACCAACGTGACCTTAGCTCGCTAGTGATGCTCCCTCAGCAGCTGTGTTGAATGCTTCACCAGCTGGTGAATTTCCTATTTCCTTTGCTCCTGTCACTGATTCCTGGAGAGCCATGATACCAACGCATGAATTCCCTAAATTAAGAAATCCTGCTCTGACAGACTTCCAAAGACAAACCCAGTGCTATTATTTAATTTCAACTTGAAAAGAGATCGACACATATCTGCCTGATTTCCACTAGCAGTAGTAAATGTCTAAATTAAATTACTTTACCTGTGGGAACCTTTGTTTCTACTTGTGATGTGGAAGTCAGGTGGTCTTGATATTGTGACACAGCTTTTCCTGTGCTGAGTTGGGTCCTCAGAAGTCATAATCCGGGATTGGCAGTTTTATTTCATCTATAATATGTTCCTAGACTATATCCCAAAGTCTCATATCAAAAAGCCAGGGCAATTTCTTCATTATTCAAATCTAGTCATAATGTTATGTATGGTCCAAAGTTATGTACCAGGCAGATTAATTTCACCAAATGGATAGTCTTGGATTACACTTAGTTTCAAGGATAACATCTGATATTATTGTATATATATAGTAAAAATCAGCACACATAAGTAAGACTTATTGCTATACTCTCTCACGTTCCTTCAACCCGAGAGGGAACTTAAAAACCAATCAAAACAATTTCCTTATTCCAAGGAATGGCGAGAAATGCTGTATTCAAAGAAGAGTTGTACTGTAGCTTTAAAAAAGTGTAACTCCTCAAGTATTTATTGCAAGATCGTTGTCACATTCAGTTGTTAACTTAACCTTGGGGAACCCTGCAGGCATCCTTGGCTGGCTCTGCTCAGAGTCACTCATCACCCACCTAATCTCTGACTGTCAGAGCCCTGGAGAGGCCTTTCAGGGACTGTGGGGACTGGTTGGAGCTTCCCATTGTGCTGAATGGGAGAAGCCGAGCAAGTCTGGCAGAACTGCCTCATCTTCTAGGGAAAGACCTCTCTGGAACATTCTGAAGTCAGGGGCCTTTTAAAGGTGGAAGTGAAGGTTTCTAAGATGAGGAGGAAGGACAAGCCTTGCTTCTATTAGTCAACCTCAACATTTTTATTCTTTCTGACTAAATCCTTGAGAACAAAAGCTATGCAAGAAATGGGTACAATTAACTACCCTCTGGGGAGTATGTCTCCCTCAAGCCTATGCTAACTTGGCACTTTATTAAATACTGCATCCCGATTTTATACATGCAATCCGAAGCGCTCTAGAAAAATGTTTAGCTTTCTGAGGACAAGAACAACGTTTCATGCTGACACCACAGCCCCACAGGAGCTATCTAGGCACACATTGGAGAAATATCCAAAATGGTGAAAAGTCTGTTTCTAGGCTTGTCAAGCAATGTGAGGAAATAAAGAACAACAACTCACTGCTAGCAAGTGGAGGCCGACTCAGATGGACACTATAGGAGAGAGTAGAACTGCCCCTGTGGGTTTCCAAAGACCAGCTCTACCAGAGTAGAACAGCTGCACCAAAATTTCTGAATCAGGGCTGTGAGGATACAAAAGGGTTAAGTATTACAAGCTCGCCTTTGAGGAATGGACAATTGCAGTTGGATAAACCATGCACACAAGCACGCGCCTGCCCGGGCACATCCGCCCCAGTCAATGAAGAGTGTCATGCACAGGAGAGACGGCTGGCCTGTGAGTAAGCACAGTTACTTGCTACGATAAACTGAGCCCTGGGATTGCAGCCTAATACCAACTGTTCTGCTCACAGAATAGGAACAAAGGTGTAATTGTGTCACCCTGTCAGGAAAATTGGTCGGGGAGGGAGTGGGGTGGATGGCCACATGGACCCACACGGGTTATCTTTTCTTCTTTGCAAACTCTTTGGCAAGATATTTACCTGCCTGGAGAGTCAACTGTAGAAAAGCAAAACAGGGCTCTGGCAGGTGTGTGCTGTTTCGAGGAAAACTTGTTCCTGAAACTCCTGGACTTGTCCTCAGCTCAGTCTTGAGGCGCCAAGATCATCCTGCAGGATCTCAAAGGGCCAGCAAAGGCAGGAAGCACGGCCGCTAGATTCTCCCACGGAGGAGATTGCATGGAGAGTTAAGTTATGTAGAAAGTAACTAGAAAGAGATATTGGCAACATTCATTGGTGCCGAACAGTAGAATGGGGTAGGTAGGGGCAAATAGAAATTGGAGGCAGGGTAGGCACTGCTTTTCACAGAATACTTTATTTATTCTTTTAATTTTTAATCATAAATGTTTCACTGAT